AAAATATATACGATTACACATCTGAGCTCAAATAGGTGCCCTCCTTAATCATGGAAATGTGACTTTTTACACACTGCCGTGCTTGTGGTTAAAATGTCTGTTTTACAATCAGGTTCTAATCTCCGCCGGAACGTCTCTGTGTTGCGTTTGCATGTTTCCTTTTCTCACCTCCGTTACAAGTGGATTCCATGGATAAGGGCTCGACAAAAAAAACAACCGTGTACTGTACCAAAAATACTATTATATATAATACTACTTAGTTTGAGAGATAGGCGTGTCTGTTAGCCTGTTCAAGTCTGTACTGGATATCTGTGACAACAGCGGCACAACCCAGAAAAACATGTACAAGTGTCTGTCAGTTGACAACTGCTTACATAGGGGTATTTTAAGTGGAATGGACTATGGATTATTTTCTGTTCGTTAAATCCGAAGTCTGTAACTTCTGGGTCCCTTTAATAGAAGTGCCACTGTATCTATAATCACAGTCATTGTGGGAAAACATATTTATTGTATGTTATCATGTTGTGTTATCTAAAACCACATTTCTGATGAATCCTTTTTTTTTTTTTTTTACATTATATTTAGAATTGATTTCAATGTAACTAAACCATTTTAACTCCAAGTGGTGTGAGTGGGCTGAGATGTTGCATCCAAGGTCACACGGTGACAGCATGAGGGAATGTGGGATGGAGCTGTGGAGGCTCCCTGTTGGTTAGTCATCAGTGGGGTTTGGAACCATCCATACATCTATTATTTCAACTGTTTTATCCTCACAAGGGTCACGGGCATGCTGGAGCCTATCTCAGCTGGCTTCGGGCATGAGGCGGGGTACACCCTGAAATGGTTGCCAGCCAATCACAGGGTGCACATAAACACTCACAAAATCATACTTAGGGACAATTTAGTGTGTTCCTTTAACCCATTGAGCATGTTTTTGGCATGTGGGAGGAAACCGAAGTACCCGGGGAAACCCTACATGTGCAAACTCCACACACAAAGGCTCAGGCCCGGAATTGAACCTTTGACTTTGGCACGTGAGCTGGACGTGCAGCACGTTGATCAACTGCTCAATGTGCTGCCCTGGTTTGGGAACAGTGGGGCAAATATTTCTCTCTTGGTTTCCTAACAAGCTGACAGTTCAGGGACATAAGAACACCTGAGTTCCAAGACCAGTTGAGACCAGTACAGTACATCGCGGACCAGCAACCATTTTTTCATTGCTTTTAAATTGCCAGTTTTAAAGCAGTGGTACTGACAACAAAGATAATTGTCGAGTCATTCAACATTTTTTTTTCATTAAATTCAAACAGTGTTATTCAATTGTACAAAAAAATGTTGAATAAAATAATATAACACAGTGAACTATTAAGAAATGGACCAATCAGGTATAATCAATACACCTTATGATGTAAACATAATAATTTTGAAGTTATGATCCTACAAAGGGCGTCAGCATCATTGCTGCTTGCAAATGTGACTGAACGAACGATGACACGATTGATTTCTGCTTTCATCCGGTGGTTGTCGGCTAGTTATTCGCGACTAAACTGCTAATGTTTACGTGGGCAGGCTGTGCAAACGCTGCTCCCATTTCCATTTCAGCACTTGGGTGTTACTTGCTCAAACGATTTATCAGGTGTCTTCTATTGCAATGTTTTGAAGACATACCGTGCACAACTTCCTCCTCCACATCACTCTGGAGATACCGCTAGGGGAGGAACTATCAAAATAGCTTCATCTTCGGAAGTCATGACTGCCCATCAGCTGCGTGTTTAGCTGTATGTTTGGTCAATTTGTTGCAATTAATTTCTGTTTACTGCTTCTTCTTTCATTTATTCAACGCAACTCAACTCACCTGTATTTATAGAGCACTTCAAAAGGCCCGGAGCCGGTCCACAGACTGGTGGTTGGGGCAACAAGTAGGATTAAAAATCATTCACATAAGATTTACTGCAGTAGCGTCCAATGGATCTGGATCATTTGACTATGTGGGTCAAATATAGGTGAATGTTGCAGAGTTGATGTCAGGTGAATATCAAGCAGAGAGGGATTTTACTGAATGTTTACTTCATGTTCTGTCGTTGAAAACCTGATTCGTATGTACAATGGTGACCCCAAACGGAAGCGCATTTGACTCCTTTTAAAGATACAGTATAATGAGCAGCTGAGAAAACCAGTGTTGGTGATTTATAATCCATTATCGGAGGAAAATACAGCAATTCCAATGTTGTAGTTTTTAGAGCAACTCAGGGGCATAAATACGGTCTACCACGATGCTATTTCTTGCCCTTAAGGCTGCTTTATTGTGATCTGCATCAATGAGGTTTTGTTGTTGATGTTTTAATGCTTTGAAACTACATCACTTCATCCTTAATTTTTCATTTGGGTGGAAAAGTTACAGCACATTCAGATTCCTCTAAGACATGACTCTCGTCTATTCTCCTCTCCGGACTTGGCAGCACCTGATCTACTGGGTCCTGCCCTTGATTTATCTTGAGGGTCCTGGAACGGAGGAACCGCAACGAGTGGCATTTTAATGTGATTTTCAGGTGTTTGGCTGAAAACACTATTGATCACCGTGCTGCATTTTGCTCACCACACACATGCATGCTCACTCACACACACGCACTGCCCCATAGACCCTCATGGAGCCCTGGGGCAGAGGCCTAGCTGTCAGACAGGGAATGAGTTTCCATGTGGGGTTGGATTAATGAAATTGGGCCCTTGGTTGCAGAAGGGGCCGGGGGGTCAGATCATTAAGGAATCCCTGGGCAGAGTGAGATTGAGCCTGCTAGGCACAATGGACGCTGACTGACTGATGGACATCCAAGGAAAGGGAGTGAGGGAAGGGAGAAGGTGGAACACTTGACTGACAGGGTTCCTGCGGATCCTTAAAAAGTCTAAAGGCATTGAATCCATGAATCTGAATACAAAATAAATTAACCTTCATTTAAGAAATTGAATAAATAAATCCAAATGACTGATGGTAACACCATGCAATCATGTCAGCGGAGACAACAAAACAGTGATTAGGTTTTATTTAACACTCCAAAGAGCAGATGTACACTTTGGTCAACATGGAACATTGGAAACTGTGTGATGTTGGCCTTTAATTGATTTTAATTGATTTAATTTATTTATTATTTAATTTAATTTCAAATGGAATTAAAATGTCTTCAAAAGTCCTTTATTTAGCTTGCCTTAAGCCATAGGGACCATGACTAAGTTGTGATGCTTTTGTAGCAAGAGGTTAAAAGGAAAAACAAAGGCACATCCTCTCCCATGCAAGGAACCTTCTAAGTGATGTTAAAAGTCAATCCATCTACTGTATTTTCCGCACTATAAGGCACTTCGGAGTCTAAGGTGCACCTTCAATGAATAGCTTATTTTAAAACAGTTTTCATATATAGGGTGCACCACATTATAAGGTGCATAAAATAAAAGCTACAATAGTGGCTGCAGTTGCATTATGCATCCACTAGGATCCAAAGCTAAATGGAATACAAGACAATACAGCTTTATTTATATTAAGCTTACACAACCGCTGCACTTGTAACAGTGCTTTACAGAACATTTAAAATACGACGTCCAAGAAATCAGAATATGGATCCATATATAAAGCACACCGGATTATAAGGCGCACTCCCGGCTTTTGAGAAAATGTAATGCTTTTAGGTGCACCTTATAGTGTGGAGAATATGGTATTTTCTTTCCTGCTTGACCTCAGCATGTCCAATGAGTTGGAACCTATCCCAAAGACATTGGGCATGATGTGGGAAACCCGAGGCTAGAGGTCTCAAACTCCAGTCCTCAAGGGCCACTTTCTTTGTTGTCAACCCAGAGGGCCAATTGCTTTCTACTAAAGAAATCACTGCAAACCTGATCAAGTCCGACTAATCCAAACTGCACTGTGGCAAACTGAGATGTAGTGCAAACGATGAGAATTTCTCCTCAGCCAAAGAAGCACCAAACATTAACTTCCCCCAAACTAAATCAATATAGTTTTCACATACAGTACAAAAGCCTGTGCCATTCACTCAGTTGAGACTTTTTTTTTTCATGTGTAAAAGTAGAGCCGGGCCAAGGGAAATATCCAGAGGTTGTGTGAACGTTTGTAAAATAGCAGCCCAGGGATATTTCACAGCCCAGTGAACGTGCCCAAAACGTGTTTAGCTCCAAGCTTGGAAAGGGGCTTTATTTGATGGCCAAAACACTCAGGGCTCATCAAAATTCTGACTGTGTGGGTTGCTTTTGTTCAAATGTGCCAGATTTGTGCACACAGCCACACACGTGCACGCACTTTCTGTTAAATGGGAAAACACATTCCATACTCACATACACGTTGGTCAGGCAGCTGTTTTGAGCTTGCAGGAGGGAAATAGTTGAACCTCATGCGGTCGATAGCCACAACACATACACACATTATCTGATTTGGATTTGTTTTCCTCTTTCAGAAAAAAAAAAACGGGGGCCTCGAGGAATGCATTAAAATATGACACGCCTTGGCACGGTTCAATTAATCAGACTTCATGTTGTCTCTTTCCCCTTTTTATCACAATTCCAGACAGGCAGTTGTCTTTTGATGTGCTGGGTTTACGTCAGAACAAAGGCACATCAGTCTGCTACGACGTGTTTGCAGAGTGCACTGCGTGATTTTGTTTCGCCTGAAGAACAAATTGGTTTAACCTGCACACAAATGAACTAAACCTCTGTTCGGCTTAAAATAGAAAACACAGCAACATGTCACTGTTTACTGTATTTCAGGATGAATACAATCATTATTCAAATCTAATTAAAGGAGTAAAATATTTATATTCATACTTTTTTGTTGTTGTTGGAATAACAATGTGTAATCTAGTCGTGCTTCTTCCTTCAGTTTGTGGAGCATAGCACCTGAACAAAGAGACCCCCCCCCACCCCCACCTCGCAAAGAAAGTGAACATTTATGTCCAGGTGAGCCTAAGCGCTAATGGCTGCTCTCTCTTATGTCTCCCATGCAGTGTGTATGGATGCCCCGTGGCCAAGAAGAGAAAGAGTCTAGACAGACAAACCTTGGAGACCTCCCCCAAAAAAAGCACCTACCTCGACGACATGGACAACTCGACAATGGAGGAGTGCTACGAGACGGATGGAACAGAGGAGATGGACGACAGAGAGGAGGAAGAGGATGGACCGCTCGAGGAGGAGGAGGAGGAGGGTGAGGTGGAGGAGGCTGAAGGCTATATGGACTACAACGAAGAGCAAATGGAGCATGAGGAAGGCGAGATGGGGAGAGGGGAGGGTGAGGAAGAGGTAGATGTGGAGGAAGAAGAAGACGAAGAAGAGGAAGAGCGGGTGGAAGAGGAGGAAGAGGAGGAGACAGTGGCGGTGGAGGACTATGAAGAGGCGGAAGAGGAGGAAGGGGAGCAAGGGCAAGGTGAGTAAATTGCAATTCACATCGGAAAACTATGCTGCAATTTCATTAGTGCGTAAAAAAAAAAAAAGTTTCTCGTGTGCATCATTTGCATATTCATGCTTGTATTTACATATTTGATGGGCTGTGTGAAGTATTTGGGGCTGGTCGACATGATGTTCAAACATTGTGTTTTGCATTCGAATGAGGAATGAGATCAGGAGCAACGTTCTGGAAGAACAGCATGTCTGTGATCGCATATTCCTGTGAGGGTTTTGTTTTTCGGATTCATTCATTAATTCATTTACAGATTTTGCTCAGTGTATATATGTAGTAATTTCAAATCTTTTATTCCACTCTATTGATGTAATGACAGCAGTGATAGAACCTTAACTTGTTTCCCTGTAATACAAAAAAGAAAATTATCTTAAATGTTGTCTAAATTCAGCTTGGACCACTTTCGCAACTATTTCTGAATGAAATGGTTAATCATCACCTTGGATCCAGTCGAAGAACTGCTCAAGAAAAAAGAATGTGTGACACTTGTGTCTCAAGCATTTCCCTTCATCAATCTTAAATTGCACAAATATTACAGCTGTTGACACACAAAACGGTGCTGTAATAAATCCACTCATCCATTTTCGATACTGCTTGTCCTCCTTGGGTCACACTGGGGGCTTTCCCTGCTTACACCGAACTGGTCAATTGCAGGGCTTACTGTGTGTGGACAAATAACTATTCACGGTTGCATCGAAGGACAACTTAGATTTTAAAACGGGGTTATCAAAGTCATTTTTGTCAGAGGGAAACCGTCTATGTATAGCATCGGCTCATTATATTGTATACAGTGGACGCAACACATTGGTGGATAGTTTTGAAATCAGAAGACAAGCAAACAGTTTAAGTGTTCTTGAATGCATTAAAAAAAAAGGGTTTGCGAGCAAAAGTGCTTGCAATATCTCGCTGTTGTTAAAAATGAATTCAATTTATGGTTTCAGTCCGGATTTTAGCAAGAAATATGAAGTAAATGATGTGTTTGGCATCAATGTTTTTAGACTGTTCATCCAATCTAATGTGCATGTGTTTGGAATGCTCGGGTACCTCACGTGAGAATATGCAAATTCCACACAGTTATTTATTTCATCTGAGACTCAAACCCAGACTTGCTAACTGTGAGTCAGACATGCTCCCCACTACCTCACTTCACTGTTGTAGCCACCACCCACTGATGCTAAAAGTAGCTAGTTTTGTGACTGGAATTCGGGAGACTTCTGGCCCATATGTTGGCCCCACCGACCTCTCAACCCTCCCCAATCTTCTTTGACGTGCCTAACACCGGATTTGGCAGGTTTCTCTCCAGCAGACTTTGCTTTGCACCCCCGCATCGCGATTGGACCTGACAGTGCCTTCAAGTCCAATTAAGAGTGAGGCTCTGAGGGGGGAGTGTGTTAACCCCGTTTGACGCTCACTTCTACCCACCCAAAGTGTTGATGTGGCGCCTGAGCAGCCGGGCTCTTTATTTTCTTGCAGATATGTGAAAACACCATCATAGACTGATTCATTACATCCTGCAGCCGAGCCTTCAACACCGAGACCGGCTCCTTACCGGCCATGTATTTTACCCATAAACATTTAACACACAGCACACGATGCATTTCAGACATTATTCACACTCATTCTAAGCACTGAGCTCCATAATCATAATATAATTTGCCTGATTAGAATTTAATTCCTTGCAGCGTTTTAATTGGCAGTATTTTCCCATAGAAGTGCAAAAGAAATCTTTCCATATGCATCAGCATGATGCTCCACATTCACCCCGCGACAGCGGTTCCGGATTGTAGATTGCAATCATATAAACGTAATAGAGGTGACATCCCGGAGCTTCTGCTGTGTTCCTCTGTGTCATGTACATCTCTGCAGCTAATCCAAAGCCAATTCACGGCAGGATAGCGTCCCGTTTCCTCCCTTAATCTGTTTCACTTCCACGTTCCTTTTGTGTACTGTGATTGCTCCTCTAATTACTTCCCTGTGCCATGTGTCATACCATCGAAAATTAAACCCCACAAGTGCAAGACGCTTCTGTTAGATGACTTTTTCTGTCAAAATATCAGCCTGGACATTTGTGACAGTTCCCTCCTTAGCTGAGGAGCAGCAATAGTGGTCTTCGTAGAATGGTTTCGGTCTGTGCGTGTGTGTCTGCGAAACCCCTGACACTCGTATTCACCAAATACATTTCTGTAGCCACGTCTATCATAACATATGGAACAGTTTTAAGAATGTGAATGTTTGAAAATGTAAAGGAAGTCAGCAATATTGTTTTACAAAAATGCATTTGATCACACTAAAGGAAATGTAATAATCTGGAAAAGTTTCTTTATGTAGATCTTTAATCACAGCAGGTGTCTCCTGTACAATTGGAGCTCTTCTGATTGGATACAGTCAAAGACTGCACAGCTGTCAATCGTTGGCAGTACCTGAAAACTAAACACTCAGGTACCAATGTTGTATCCAGCAACTCTTAGAGTAGAACTGGAGTGTCCAAACTCGGTCCTCAGGGGTTGCTGTCCTTTCCATCTCTTCCGGCTGCAACACACCCAATTCAAATCAGGATTGTTCTATTGCTGCTTCACAGTTGGCTGATGAGCTGATCATTTGAATCAGTTATGTTGCAGCCGGGAGAGATGGAAAACAGGCAGGACAGCGGCCCTCTAGGCCCAGAGCTGGACATGCCTGGGTAGAGCATGCCGCAAATGCCTCTTCGGCAAACAGCAACATAGGAGACACGTTCATCACTGCAAGAAACACCAAGAACCAAAATGATGAAAACATCAAATGAAATTAATTTTGTTCTTTGGACATTTTAATTTTAGAAATAAGGCTTTATTTTTTTCTTTCCAAAAGACAATTTTGGCATCTCCTTGTCTGTATGTAATTTTTATTTACATGGCGCTAGTTCAAAACAGAAGTTATTTCAAGGCACTTTACACAGTGAGCATGTCAAGAACCTTACATCATACATAACTTACATTAGTTCTCAACGAGGGGCAAATTATGTCAAGGTTGCCAAATTATGGGCCAATTTTTTTTTTTTTGCCCAAATGTTTTCTCGTATCATTTTACTAATTACTTAACGTCATCAATGGTGTAGTGGTAGTGTGCGGGCAAGGTGGGATTGCTTCCCGCTCAGTGATGGTGTGGATGTGAGTTTGTATGGTTGTTTGTCTCTTTGTGTGCCCTGTGACTGGCTGCCGAAGTCAGCCGGGATCAGCTACGGCACACAGAGACCCTGAACAGGGTAAGCAGGAATGAAAATGGATGGATGGATGGATGGATAATTACGAAACTTGATAAGAACTTTGAGAACACAGTTAGAAACCTACAGTAAGGGTGTGTGTTGGACAATAACAAATTGTAAATACTTTTGCAGCCTCTGGGCTGGATGTGAGTAACGAAGATCAACACTTTTCAATTTGATGAAGTTTGAGTTTTACAAAGCAGTTGAGAAACCTGCCAAAAAAGTTGAGTTAAAATATTTGCAACTCTCCCTGGCCACTTGTTCTTGCAATGTTTGAAGTAATATGACTGGGGGTGTGGATTTATTTTGGCCAAAATATTCATCTGTATTGAACTCAAAACAGAATAAATTGACGGTGAATCAGAAATTGAGGCGAAAGTTTAATTGGGAAAGACCCAATTAAACTTTAGCATAAAGATTGAGATTCGCCCACCTCACTTTCTTCATCTTCCGTTGTGCTTTTTTTTTTGGTTTCATTTTTTTAAATGTATTGTGTTGTTGTATCTCCGCAGGAATACTGTATACAAAGTGTCCATAAGTTCGGTCCTCGAGCTCTGATCCAGCCTGTTTTAGATGTCTACCTCCACCGATACACCTGATTCAATTGATCAGTATTTTTATAAAGCTTCTACAAAGCTTACTGATGACCTGATCATTTGAATCAGGCGTGTTGCAGGAGGGAAACATCTGAAACAGGCTGAATAGAGAATCTTGAACACAGGACTTGGGCACCCCCGCTGTATACTGTCTGTAGCATGGACACGTGATGCGTGTAAACACGTGTAAACTCGACTCGTCTTGTTGGATCAAACCAGAAATGTGAACGGAAAGATTGGGAGTGCTCTGGGAGTGAGAGCTGTAAATTACTGACAAATAATGTTCGGCAACCTATTTCAGCCTGTCAGAATACAAACTGAAAAGAAGTCTTAAATGTGATTATGGTAACTTCGGGAGCTTGGTCTAAAAAAACAAATAACAAAAACAAAACTACATGTGTCTTCTCACATTACATTGAATGAAACATTTTTTCGAAAAATAATTTCCAAATGTGACGTGACTTTTGTTATAGCACTTATCATCATCATTCAAAATTGCATTTACGGCAAACAAAGTAGCTCCATGACATTTCCAAGAAAATCTATTACTGGAATAATTTCAAACTGCAGTCCAGCTTCCTGTGCACAATTCGGAACACAAGCCGCTGTTAAGACTCAAAGGACATTATTAGCGGAAGCAAATATCCAATGGAGAAAGGACCAAGCCCAGAATTATGGTTGAATGGGATGATGTAAATGAAATTAAAAGCTATTTGTTCTTTCTTTCTGAACAGAGGAGGAGCTGATGAGTGGTGGTGAGGGCAACAGTGGCGGTGAAGGTGGAGGTGGAGGTGGCGGCAGCGGCAAGTTAGGTTCCACAGTGGAGAGGGACGACAACAACAACGACGAGTATGAGAACTATGACGAGCTTGTGGCCAAGTCGCTGCTCAACCTGGGCAAGATCGCAGAAGATGCCGCCAACCGGGCAATGACGGAGTCAGAGATGAACAGCAACTCCTCTCACAGTGCTGAAGAGGAAGAAGAGGAGGAGGAGGAGGATGAAGAGGAAGAAGAAGAGGAGGAGGAAGAGGAGGAGGAGGAGGAGGAAGAAGAGGAGGAAGAAGAAGAAGGGGAGGAGGAGGAGGAGGAGGAAGAAGAAGAGGAAGAAGAGGAAGAGTGCGAGGAAGCACCAAGAGGTAATCAGCACGATCTGAGTTTGGACGTTCATAGTGACGTGGTCAGAGAGACTGTGGACTCGCTCAAACTCCTGGCACAGGGACACGGGGCTGTGTTGTCGGACAATTTGGAGGGACAGGACTACGCGGAAGGCATTGCTGGAAACGGAGACTGTTCCCACAACGGCCTAAGTGTGCACAACGGCGGTAACGGACTAAGTAAGACCACCGGTAATGGACAATTCGAAAACAGTGATGAGGAAGTGTGTCTAAGCAGTCTGGAGTGCCTACGGAATCAATGCTTCGATCTTGCTCGGAAACTGAGCGAAACAAAGCCCACAGATCGCAACGGGTCCTTCCAGCAGAATCATTACCAATGCGGGGACATGAATCAGCAGCCCCAACATCACGGCTATGGGGAGTTCCAGCATAGCCAGGACGACAGACGAGCGCTGGACAGGAACTATTCTGACATGGACAATCTCTTGAAGCTTGAGGAGCAGCTGAGCCCGCGATCCAAAGCCTTTGCCAGTTGTGTGCAAGCGGACCGTTTTCACCACCGAGACTTCGACGAAGACACGGCCTCTGTGACGTCAGACAGGTCAGAGGAAGTGTTTGACATGACAAAAGGCAACCTTTCCTTGCTGGAAAAGGCTATCGCGTTGGAGTCCCAACGTGCAAAGGCACTGAGGGATAAAATGGAGACGGAAGCAGCTAGGAGAGACGGCGTGAGGTATAGCCATGATGACCACGGGTCACGGCATGCCTATGCGGTTGAGCGTAAAGGACGACTCCCTGATGGAATGAAGAAGCTTTTCTATCATAAAGGTGAGTGCTTCAGACCGACATGCTCAGAAGAACGTGCACACATTTATTAGATGCAATGCTGAAGCTGAAATTTACAACAAACATGAAATCCCTGCATCAATCCATTTTTTTATACCACTTTTGTCCTTTAATGGTCGTGGAACAGTGAAAGTCGATCCTCACTGACTTTGGGCAAAAGGTTGGGTACAATCTGGACTGATCAACTGCATGACACGATACATTGCATCTTTCTATTGAATGCTCGATACAGCTCTTTTATGCAATCGCATCAAAATGAGCGGGCCTCCGATTTTTCTTCATTGTAAGGCTCCACGACAGTATGTTATTTAATATATTGTCGAACAGTGTTCTCTACAGTCCATCCTTCACTGCAGACAGCAGACAACCCGCATGCAGGCTCAGTTCCCCCGTATAACCCCATGACAATCTTTTTGCGGCCAATTTGAAAATTTGAATCTTGGTAGCAGCAGGAGCAGTAGCAGCAGCTTATGTTGTTAAAATAGGCCAGCATGGAAACATCAGAGGGTAGGCTTGTCAGGCATAAGTAATGGCAATCTGCACGGCCTGTTAGGGCCGTACATTTCATCCCTGGGATGCAGCTTGGGGTAAAGCCTCCTATTTTTAAACCTATTTTTAAGGACTGGGGGAAGAGGAAGGCTCGCATCCCTTTGCAGTGAATTAATTTATACATTCCTCTGCTTACACCCTACTGTCAGGCTCTTACGCTTAGAGTCTGATTTTCAGCGAGCCCGCAGAAGGACAAAACATAACGAGTGCTGGTTGCGCTGGCTGTCTGCAGCTAAGGACTGTAAAGAGCAAGTGCAGCACTCATTCGGGGTGCTTTGAATGCGGCACTCCTCTTCCAGTCTAAATTATTCCACTCATAATATCTTTTTACTGCGGCAATATTCAGCCTTAATTAGGCTAAATTATTTCCCCCCCCACACAGGATATTTAGACAAGAGACACAAATAAGAGCATGCTAATTCACAGCAGGGTGATATTAAACCTCAAATGCCACCCAATTCTCAGCAGGTATATCTTGCAACGTAAATGTCACACAAATGTTAATTTCGAGAGTCTTCTGCAGACTCGATGCTTGAATGATGCTGGAATAAAGAGTGGAAGGCTGATAATAATCTTGATATCAGACGGACGATCGTAGCAGACACTCACTCGGCGGGGTGCCTGTGCGTGATTTAGAAAACGCAGCATGTTGAAAAGCTTGAGGTGGGGAAGAGGAGGTCAGGGATGAACGCAGTTTGGCGAAAGAAGCATGAGGTTAAGATGAGAATGGAGGAGTACCCGAATGACCGATAAGGAACAACAGGCCCGCTGACTGCACATTAATTATCCAGAGATGGTATGGTAATGGGGCCCATTTGCTATGCAAAGCACAGCCCCTCCCAAGCCGCAATCAATATCCCTTCCTTCTAATATGCCTTCCACCCAGGAAAGGCTGGCAACCGAATGTATGTATAAGAAGGCATGCAGTTAGAAATACTTCCTTGGTATTTTATCTCATGCTAACAGCCAGGGCCTCAAAAGAAGTCATCCTTAACAAGCCAAATGATAAAAAATGCTGGTTTACATCAAAGGCAAAAAGAATAGGGGGGGAAAAAAACAACAGAATGACAACACGCAGCACCCTCTACACACAGATTTTATTTGGGTGAAGGAGTGGGTGTGTTCTCTGTCACCTCTTCTTAACCCTACTCCTCACTTGATTCTGTTCTACTTTGTTCTTTCTTCATACCCTCTGGGGTTTTTGTGGGGTTGTCACTTCATGCCTTAGGAGTTGCAGAGTTTCAAATCTTTAATCAGCCACGCATCAGTTTGCCTGTACCCACTCACTCCCTCATATTACTCAAATACTTGTGCCTAATGAACATTTCAGTCTCTCATATTGTTGCTTTTTGGTTGTACAAGATGATAAGTTGTTTACGTCGCGAAGCTCTGCAAGAGAGAGAGAGAAAAAAAACATTCTCAAGTCTTCCTGCAGTCAGCAGATGTACTGTAGCGTCGTGATTTCAAATCCAGTCCTTGACTTTGACTTGCAGTGAGAGAGTCTTCAATATGAAAACATAAACTTCATTTATGCTCTGAATTTGGAGAAGGTAGAAGAATGGATGTCACGATTGTGGATTTTTTTTTTCTTCATATACACAAAAGCAGTAAATATTTCTTTCAAACGCATGCCAGGACATTTCTGTATAATCAAGGTCAAGGCCAAGGTCATCTTTATTGTCAAATATGCTCTCTGTACTATATACAGCACAGAGGAAATGTCTTTCCTCTCAATCCTCAGTGCAAATATAATAATGACGGATGAGGAAATAGTTCTCTTCAATCAAGATATAAATGGACATTGATCATTTGATTGGATTCATAATCAATTAGCCCCAACAGTATCATTTTAGACTTCAGATTGTCTGTGTGTGTGTGTGTGTGTGTGTGTGTGTGTGTGCGTGCGTGCGTGCGTGCGTGTGTGTGTGTGATCGTGTGTGTGTTCATTCATATCTAAAGCGCATCGGATTATAGGGCGCACTGTCGGCTTTTGGGAAAATTGAATGGCTCTCGGTGCGCCTTATAGTCCAGAAAATATGATAATTGCAACCAAAAAAAAAAGAAAATCCCTCAAAATTTAATTATGGTATCATGTTGAATCGTTTGAATGTGAGTGAATAATTGTAATGCTTTGTACAGTGTTGTGTTGACTTTAAAAAATATATATCTACTGGTTTTTGTCAAACAACTGTCATGGGTTGAATTGTTCACTATTTCAATGAATGCCCAAGGTTAGGATCAAATGTCTTTCAACAAAGAGAAATCTAAATTAGGAGACTATTAAATGATGAAAATTGTGATCAGTAGGGTGTGGCCATTGAGTAACTAACAAGCTGGCTAATTTTTTTACCTCAGCTGGATCAAATGTTGGATTCTTCTCAACGGAATGCTTGCTTTCACATGCAAAAAAAATGAGAACCCATTCAAAACTAACTGGCCGGGCACTTAAAAGTATTCATTTGACCTTTGTAGTGATGTGTCGTTCGCGAACGAGCCGGCTCTTGGAGCCGGCTCTTTGAAGTGAACGACATGAGCCGGCTCCTAAGAGGGAGCCGCCTAATGGGAGCCGACTTTTTTTTTCCTCCTGTTTTTTCCCCCTTTCGGTTAAAGCCGCACGTGATTAAAGCCATATAAATAATAAATATTTGATATACTGTATATTTTTTACATTCGTAATTCATTTTACACATAATTTTACATTATTTTTGGGAGTAAACTAATTTAAGCAACAAAAAAACTGAGGAGCCATTTGGGAGCCGAAAGAGCCGGCTCTTTTTAGGGAGCCGAGCCAAAAGAACCGGCTCCCTAAAAGGAGCCGGAATTCCCATCACTAGACCTTTGACTCTCTGCTACTTTAGCCATTTCCAATTGGGCTGTATTAACATCTAATCTTCTTTCGCACAGAAGCTTCCCGCGCCGACAAGAAAGAGAGTCGCTGTCCGACACCAGGCTGTGACGGCACGGGTCACGTGACTGGCTTGTACCCCCACCATCGAAGCCTGTCGGGCTGTCCGCACAAAGACAGAGTGCCACCAGAAAGTAAGCCATCTGGTCTCATACCAGAGCCCAACCTGTGGCCTTGCCAACCGTGTCACTCCGCATGTCTCCCTGTGATCACTGCTGAGTCGCACTCGCTGCGTATGTGTTTGTGTATCTTCTGAACTGTTTGATCGTGACGGCCTGCAGCGGTACTTCTCTTGTGACCTTTTGCATGCAGCCAGAGTTTTGTTCGCTGATTGCCTGCTTAGTGTGCCGTGGTGATGAAGTATGAAATGAGGACTTGATCTGTGAAATGCAGGGGTCGCTGCATGTTTTTGCATGAGACTCTTTTGCCCACTTTCCAGACATGGGTCACGTCCACTCGTGTGGCCAGATTCATTTTTTGTCACAGCATGATTGGCTGAAAGGTTTCATTACCTCCCCCAAGATGTGCCGGAGCAGTGTTTTTGTGGAACTCAATAACCATCGAAGTTATTTGCATGAACATCATAGCAGAGCTCAGATAGCAGATCTATTTATGTGTCTATTTATTCTGTCAGTAAAACACAATGCAGATATTCGTACAATATCTGCAGTGTGTTATTGGTTCTTTTTTAGAAGACTTATGCAACTGGAAGAACACATTGAATTTTAGTCGAGCAACAGTCTGTTCCAGCAGATGGAGCCATAGGGTGGGGGGGTTGTAGTTGACGCCCACAGTGTATTCCCATTTTTTTGTCATAGACTGACTACAGAGTTTCACAGGTACAGTCAATATTTAGTCATTTTCCAACCAGATGTAAGATGGTCACCCCCGGGTGGATGTTTTTGTTTGTTTATGATGTGCATTACCGCCAAAGTGCAGTGGCAGATCTCATCCAAAACTTATGAGTGTGCAAGATTTTTTAAATTTTTTTTAAATTTTGAGAACAAATTTAAAACATAATCTTGATCAAATTTAAAACATAATCTTGATCTATTACTGTTGGTATAGTGCTTGGCTGCAGCTTATTCACCAGTAAGTTATGAGGCTAGGAGGAAAGAATCAACCGCGGTGTTCTGCAATGAACTGGCTGCTCTTGATAATTTTGTCCATTTCATTCTGGAGCACAGACCTCGATAACACCGAGCCCCTCCTCAGCCATCCATGTCACTGAACCTATTCTTTTCGTTGCATTTTCACTCAATTATGGCGCATCGGAGGGAAAGGCTTGAACCATATCTCACGATTGCATATCAAGTGAAGTGGCAATAAAAATTAGCCTCGAATCAATCCTAAGTCTTTACCATTGCTATTTAGCGTGGTGTTCACCTTGTGCAAAAATGTCTCCATAAAAGACAGATTATGTGTTTTATTCATGGACCCAGTTAAATTCAAGATATGATCTGCTGTGACAGAGAGCACAATCAAAATAAAAGAGAGTTTTAATAATGGCAAAGAAATTAGTTAACATAACAACAGGCTTGTAAAGACCACCGGTGCCACAGTGATTTCAAGTTATGTTTCACATTTCCAGAGCTTTTTTTTTTTTTTTTTTTGGTTGACTATCCAACATGCTTGTGGAGGCTCTCAGTCGTACAGGAAAGTTCCATTGTAGAAAGGGTTCTGTCAGTCGTCATCTGTACCTGTGGGTACAATGACGACTGACAGAACCCTTTCTACGATTGACTATCCAACATGAAATCGACACGTAATGTAATGTGATGCATACGTCCAATTTCTTGATGCATACATCCAATTTCTTTTCCGCTTTACGGAGCTATCCCAGCTGACTTTGTTTGAACGGCAGATTAGAACCTCGACTGGTCGCCCATCAGTTACATGGGACACATAAAGACAGAGAACCCCTTCACCCCATGAAATTACAATCCGATCTGTGAGTATAAAGTAACGTAAAACATTACAACAGCACATTCTGTTTTTTGATTACAAGCAAATGACAATTTTCTGACCAGTCAGGAGCTAGCTAGCAAGCAGCTAGCTCAGAAAAAGTTTGTACATACTGCTGGGGAGTGGAGACTGAGTCCTTTCAGCCAAAAGGAATGCAAATGCAACAAGAAGTAACACACTAACACACGGGACAAAAGTGCAGTACTTGGTCACACAGATACTAGGACGTATAACTACTTCTCTTCTCACATTCGTCTTTTTGTCCTACCATTATCATCATTTATTGAATGCATTATTTTGTGTAGCAAGACCACTTGCTGCTTTTAAGGCAATATTGAACAATGAGCCATGATTATATTTTATGAAAATAAATAACAGATAAATAATAATAATGAATGAAAAGAATGAAACTAAATGCGCAGAATGCTGTTGCACTGCACAAAAGTAGATGCAATATAACTGTCAATATGAAAACTTTGGAGCCTAAGAAATGCACGCGGTTTGATCTTTAAGTGTGTTGCGCAGTCAAAGCGCCTACTCACGCAACCTGTTTATTCAGTGAGTGACACGTGGCAACAGCCAGCCCGAGGTGATACACACATACATACAATACATACATACAATACACGTATGCAGGACACCATATTGCCACAAGTATTGGCTCACCCATCCAAATCATCAGATCCAGTTATTTTCATGGCCACGAGTGTATAAGATCAATCAGCTAGGCTTGTAGACATAGGCATGTTTTTACAAATATTAGTGAGGGAGTGGATCTCTCTCAGGAGCACAGTGAATTCCAACATGAAACAGTTATAGGATACCACCTGCGCAACAAGTCCAGTCATGAAATTTCCTCCTAAATTTGTCACAAGCGACTGTCAACTGCATGGAAACATTTGGGAATGGCAGCAACTCAGCCACAAAGCGGTAGGCCAAGTAAACTGACTGAGCGAGGTCAGCACATGCATTGCACGAAAAATGCAACTTTCTGCGGCGGCAATCGCGACAGACCTCCAAACTTTATGTGGCCTTCAGATTGGCTCAAAAACAGTACACGAAGCTTCACAGAATGGGTTTCTGTGGCTGAGTAGCTGCATCCAAGCAATACTTCACGAAGTGCAATGCAAGGGGCCAGATGAGGTGGTGTGAAACACGTTTCCACTGGACTGGAGGAAAGTGGAGACGCGCTCTCTAGAGTGACAAATCATATTTCTCCATGAGAAAATCTGATGTCTTGGTTCGGCACTTGTCTGACTGCATTGTCCGCCTGCGAGTGGAAAGTTTTGTGGAATGGGGATTATGATTTGGGGTTGTTATTCAGGAGCTGTCCTTGGGTAACACCATTGAAGAAAAATTTGAATTCTTCAGCATAACAGAAGCGTTTGGAAAATTCAATTTTCCCAACGTTGTGTGAACAGTTTGGAGCTGGTCTATTCCTATTCCTCTACCACCATGACACAAAACAAGGTCCATGAATAGACGCATGGATGCGTCTATTGTGGATGAACTTGACTGGCCTGCAAACTCAACCTTTGAGAACACTTTTTTAGAGTGGAGACTGGGAGCCAGATTTTCCTCATTCAAACATCAGGGTGACCTCACAAGATTTGAATTTTTACTACCCAGCAACCACTGTCCCTGACTTGCTTGGTAGCATGGCTTATTCATACTGGAAATTTTCCAACCAAGCCAAGTTACCAGATTGATGTTACTGTATATTTTTTTTCAATATATCATATTTTTAAGCTGTTAAAAATAGAAGAGCGTGGTGATCAACTGACCTCATGTCACATTGAAGGCAGTGACTTTTGCGATGTTTTTTCTGGGCCCGGTGATGCAGCCTTCTGCATCATAGAAAATCCGTTTTACGTTTACCCTCGAATTGTCTCAAGGGCTGTCCAATTCCTTCTTTTTAACTTTTGTTGCTAACCACGGTACAATAATCCAGGCAAGAAAACTATCAGCACAACGGGACTGTGCGCCGCAGTAGCCGGCAGATTGCTGGTGCCCGTGCTTTATTGTAAGCCTGCGTGAGCGCACGTGCTCACATGGGAAAATGATCGACAGACTCTTGGGATCACATTCTGTCTCTATCGTCTCTGACTGGCTAGTTTCGTAGTGCTGTGACAAGTTTACAAATAATAACAACAACAAAGGGGGGTGGGGGGCAAGACAGGTATGATTTTTCAAAAGATCATGTTCACAATATTGTAGTTTGAACAAAACGAACAGTTTAACAAAAAGTGTTTTTTGTTTTTAACACTGCAACTCTACTTTTAACAATCTGGTTTGAAATATTATCAAACATTCAAAAAGGCTGTTTCTGAATTGCAATGCATCTCAGAATGCAATCTCCCACTTATATTAATTACGACACAAATGACAACATGACCAAAATATTACTTTTCTGACAATATCGGTCCGAACTGAGATGATCAGCTCCTGAATTGAGTGTCATTAAATGGTGCTAGTGTACCTAATGCTGTGGTCGACAAGTGGGCATGCCTTTGCTTTTGGTGCTCAAGGACGCACAAGTCTAACACATAGACTGTGCAGTCTCGTGACATATCAAAAGTGACCTGCCTCATACATTAAGTCACTGCATCGTCAGCCAATCACTCGCTTCCTGTCAATATGTGCTCAATCGTCTCACACAAAAGAGAGTCTTTGCTTGACTAGTTTAAAAGTAAGGATGACAACACGCCGCACAAGTGACTACCTGCAGGGCAAACTCAGCGACAGACCATTCTCTTTCGCTGTCAATGCATCTGCTGTGCAGGATAGATTATGTTTTATTAATGCAGTGGTTTCATTTAATTGGGAAATCACACAGTGCAGGCAGACAGCTCCTTGGGAAATGTGAAAGATGACAATTAAATTATATCTCAAATTCATTAATTTCCTTCATCGTTTGCTCATTTTAGCTTTCTTTTTCTCTCGACAATATTGGTAGAATTGATTGTTAGTTTTTCCAAGTCATTTGCTCATGTATGACGCAAGGCATTTGCTCTCGCCAAGAGTTTGCATCCTTGCATTCCTTCCCTCTTTCTTCCCATCCTGCAATTTGATGAAGACTATTTTGCGGTGCTTCAATTTCCTGTCTCTTTGCAGAGGGCAGGACAAATCTAGGATATGCATAATGTATTGGCTTGTGGCAAGTTGAGGTGGCGGGCTTTTTCCAATTACCTGCACCGAACACCAATTAGTATGTAAGGGAAAGAGGATGATGAGGGGTGAAAGTTTAAGGGGGTGATAATGATGAAGCCGATGCCGATGGGGTTTGGCCCCGCATGGCCCGGTGTCGAGAAGACGCTTCCCCGCACCCCTACTTGCAATGCTCCGACAGCTCATCTCAGACATCCATAGATCATTAATCTAATTGGCTGGTTGCCACGGGGCGTGAGACAGTTATGGACTGTTTTAATGGTAAGCGGTACTGAACACCACGCTGTCTACGCTAACGACGTGCCCGTGATACCAAAGCGCAAATAACAGAGGGAAGGGATCTTCTATTGATTTCAAGACATGTGTTTTGCATGATTGTCTGCTGTTGGTTGGATCTGCTTTCGGCATGGCCCCAATTCCCCCCTCCATTTCTGTGTCTTGCTGAACCTAAATGGCTCCTTTTTATTCATGACCGTGCCTATTGCATGAATATTAATTTGAAAGGCTCAGATAAGTGGAAGCAATATGGCGGGAAACCTTGCCTGCCCTTTCAAAACTAGCATTCATTAAAATGAAGAAGAGGTCATTTGGGTTCATGAAGGCTCATTTCTTAATGATGTTTATAATGCCAAGCTCACACACTAATAGAACTCATGCGTGGTTTCGAGGGGCTCCTAACCTTGCGTGTTTCTCACTCCTGTCTCCTGTCGCTATGAAGTTGTGGCTATGTATGAGAACGTTCTTAAGTGTCCTACGCCTGGCTGCACTGGACGCGGCCATGTCAATAGCAACAGAAACTCCCACAGAAGGTAAGTGACAGCCTGCCCGTCGGAAACGGGCTCGATCCATGTCCCTTTTTTTCTGTGGGATCTTATTTCAGTTCATGTGGACATGAGACCTTGAGTTGACTTTTTCTTCCATCCAATCATTATTTTATGTGTTGATTATGATCATATTGTTGGCTTGATGGGGATCATTACCCCCCGCCCCCCCCGCCCCGCCCCAATCAGCAGTGTTATATTGTATTCATTATCCGCTGGTGTCTTTCTTGAAATATTTGTTTTTATGAGCCACATTTTGTCTAAATCTTGATGCATCCACCTGGAATATTTGTGTCATTATGTTCCAATTAACATATCGTGAGGACTTCACATATACATGCAATTATACAATAATGTGTTGAAATGAAATACTTATTTCTTATATAGATCTGAACATCATTTTCTAGGTGCCGGCAGTATCATAGATTGTAGTGTAGGGACTAGTTAAGGCAGGTTTGACCCAAACCACCCACGCAGAATGCAAAATTTCCTGGAGGAAAACTCTTAAACATTGTACAGTATTCTCAAATGCAAGACCAGGACAAATCAAGTCTTTACCAAAGGTGGATTGAAATGAGGTGGGGATTATCAGTGCAACTGAAGAAAGAGCACTGTTAGCATGGAGGTATTGGCTGTTGGTCAATAGGGGGCTGCCACTTGCTATGTAAAGCTCACCTTATACAGTAGTCATCACAAGACAAGGCACAACTGAGCAGGACACAAGGGTAGGAAAGAAGATGAGTTGCTAAGACACAAAGTGTCAGGTCAAGCAAACGGGACTAAGTGGAGCTAACAACCAAATGCTACATAGGTAACACGAAAAGGAAGACGGGATGTAATTAGTGAATACAGAAGAACAAAAACAGGGGGGATCAATATTGAGAAATGCAGCACACAGATAACCATTGAGTTGGCTCTTTTCCTTTCATCACATCCAAACCAAAATGGGCAGCATTTTGAAATCTTCATCTATTCAGATGTGGATGTTAATCGATAATATTCCATTTGCTTCTCTTGAATCCAGACGAAATTTTAGCTGTTTAAATCCTAGCATGGAGCCAAATGGGTCGCCATTGATTGTGTAGCTAATACCATAAAAGTTTTCACTCTCTGATGGCTTCCAGTTGTTCCTCTAGTTCACGATCCACTATTTCAAATGACACTGTGCGTGCTCAAGTGTGAATCATTCATCAGACCCTGGTAGGAAAAATATGGCATCTATCAGGTGCAAGTTTGGAAGGAGAAACAAAAATAGCCTTGCTGTCAGATGGGGTGAGGTTACAGGGAAAAAGGAGTCACCCACAGCAGATGCTCAGGGAGTTCAGGCATAGCAGCAGCTATTAGCACCTTTCTGCCACTCAGCCGGGCTGACAGAAAAGGTGCAGACCTGGGAAGACCGCAGTGCCCCCATACTGTGCTCAGTGACACGGCTCAGGCGTCAAATAGGCACGTGCATCCACACGAGCCATAAACTTTCACTTTTCCTATAGAAGGAATGATACAGATTCGATGCACAGACACACATTTGTGGGCGTTGTGTGACAGGTGCTCATGTGTACAGCTGCATATTGGCTCCGGGCCACTGTCAAAGTGCATTTTAGGAGACCTGACACGTTACATTAGGCAGAGCAGTGCAGAGGAAAATGGAGGTTAAGGACCGCAGTGTGTACTTTTGGCACTTTTGGCCAGTTAACTGTCAGGACAGTTGCACTCTCTACCAAGCCATAACATGCATACAGTATTCCCATACTTGCCTCTATTCTGTATTTACACTTAACAGATATTAGGCTATATTGTACGACTTACTTATTTATTTATTTAAGGGCTTGATAAGGGATCTTCAAAGGAATAAATGTGTCATAGCGTGCAAAGCAAAGTGCAGAGGCAGACTCGGTTGAACTTGACGTCCCCAACCTCAACGTCATCAGAGGTCAGACACCTGCAGGATGAAATATTCCTCTTGACAAATGGAATTGAAGTACAGTATATTCCATTTTAGAGAATGGGAAGCACAGTGACCAAGTGGTTAGCACGGCCGCCTCACACTTCTCAGTTTTGGGTTTAGAATTGCTGCCTTTCTGTGTAGAGCGTTACTCTTCCCCTGCATTCCAAAAACATGAACGTTGAACGTAAATGAGGTAACAGTGTGAATTCCGCTTTGAATGCTGAAGGTAGAAAAACGCTATCGAGGTGACAGCACATTTACCATTTAAGTATAAAACCTTTTATTTGTTCACAAGTCGCCATTCTGTCCCAATAAAATTCCTCTTTCCGTGTTCATGCTACACCTGTGCCCTGGGTGTGTTTGTGAGAGGAATGGGTAGCAAGGTTCGTCTTTCAGTTGCTTGAGCATTAGGGGCATCTTCGGAAATCACCTCTGAGTGCGCACTCGTTCACTGTGAATGTATGGAAAGATAGAGCGCTTCTCAAAATTGTTCTCCGGCTACTCAGTGTGTATCCAAAAACTAGGCGCTCCGACTGTGAACATGGAAGGCCAGTGCTGGCTGTGTTCGGAAAATAATAAAAGCGGAGCGTACACTACCTCTCCGAAGATACGGTCGTCAGACCGAATTTCTGAACACACGTTAGGTTATAGTTATTTATCTTGCAGTCCATCTTAGCAATGGATCGTGATAAAAAATACCCACATTCCCCCCCTCCCCCCAAAAAAAAATCTCTCAGTCTCCCAGAGCGGTAAAGAAGAAGAGGATGATTGGAAAAATGAGCCCTGTCCACCTCCTGAAGGTGCACCGGCCACAGCTCATAAGTGCAGAGGCTTCAAAATAGTGTGCAACAAGCATTCCCCAATAAGAACAGAGGAAAATAGCAAGGTGATGCGGGCATACAATTTGAGCATTTCTTTCACACTGAGCATGGCGGACCGAAGGGGTTACAAAGACATAATCAATGATGTCGATCGAACAAAAGTGTTGAAATCTCTACCTTTGGGCAAATTCATACTTTATATTGAATACATGGACCTATGTATCATACTTGTATTTTTTTTTTTTTTAATGGGAGAACCTGTCAAGGAAGTGAAGTGAAGAAAATTCCATTTTTTTTTCTCAGCCCCCTCACACATTGGTCACGCCCCCGCCCCCTTAGTTGCCGGAGAGAAAAAAATCGTGGCGTCGTGCCTGCCCATAGGTGTGAAAGTGAGTGTGATGTGTGTATGTTCATGAGCACAGTCGGGATAGGCTCAAGTTTATTCGCAACCCTAAAGCCCGTATTTGACTGAGCGGTTTGCGAGGGTGTGCGCGCATCGTGAATGTGGGGGTGGGGGGGGGGTTCCGGAAGGGTTTGTTCAAGGTCGCAAAGGGTCGCAAAGACGTTTGCCACCACTCTTAACAGTCACAAACAGTTTTTCTTGTTGCAACAGAATTTTGAACATGACCGCATAAAACATGATCATTTACCATATGGCAAAATCTATGCATTAATCAGATTGTGAGCTCCTCCAGAAGAAACAGACAGGCTACTCGAATTAACATTATCTCAGCGATGCTGTGAAGCAGCCAATTGAGAATTACTTTGTCAGACAAGCACATTAACAATTAACACCTTTTAGAACACGTACAATGTGCTCAGAATTCCCCTATTCAAAACTGTATCTAAGATTTTGGAGTGTGCCAATGTTGACACTTTTTTTTTTTTCTTCAGTCTGTCTGGATGCCCCATTGCTGCAGCCGAGAAGCTGGCCAAGGCCCAGGAAAAACACCAGAGCTGTGACGGCTCCAAGCCCAACCAGGCTTCTGACAGAGTATTAAGGTAGGACCTACTCTCTTTTCTCTTATTCATCATCAGGTGGCCTTCAAACAACAGTAGCTGTCATAACTTTTGGCAACTTCACAGTGGAAGATAAAAAGATAAAACTAGCGTTTGTTCTCCCATTTGATGAATTCACATGAATGGTTTGATACATGTTCTGGCAATGTTGTTATTGAGGGAGCTCCACGTTTGTCAAATATCTGTCACGATGACATGTTTAGCACCTTTTCCCCTTGTATTTCTTAAAGCTGTTCAAGTTTGAAGTGCTTTTTGTTTCATGCTTTATCTTTCAGCGAATACTTTCAAAAAACTGCGTGTTCGTTTGTCTCCTTACTATTGAAGACAAATCTCTTGATTCCCTAAATGCAGTCAGTCACGTTTATCATGGTGTGGCCCAGTTTTGTTTTCTGGTTTTTTTTTGGGGGGGGGGGGTTTGGATTGGAGACTGTTATAAAGTCATACACATATCTAAATGTCACGAGTAATTTCAATTTTCACAATTTAGTTATGACTGAATACAAAAACAGTAACTTGCACTTCATCGCTTCCTTGTTACAGTTTGCAGCTACTCATTACAGTGTTTATATGCATGAAATTATACGTAAAACCATTAACAATTGCGAGTGTAATATAAAGAAATAAAGACAACTCAATGTATTTTTCATTGGCAGTGGAGGTGAAGAAAGATACACAAGCAATGGCAAATGGAGGGAAGATCCTTTCTCTTAAACGCAGCCATTTACCAGCATCATCCTCCATATTTCAATCCTGGAGTGTTGCCAACAGTCTGCACTTTCCTTTGAGTCTGCCCACTTTAAGCCAAATTTCCTTCCCCTCCTTTGGGCAATTTTCAGTGGCTCGGTCCAACTTCCACCCCCTCGTCATTTATTTTCCAGGCCTATGTGCTTTGTCAAACAACTGGACTATCCTCAGTATGGTGACAAGAACAATGTTTCCACCAGCACGCCCCGATCCAACCTGGCCAAGGAGCTGGAGAAGTACTCCAAGACCAGCTTTGACTACAGCGCCTTCGAGGGTACCAACAACCACCAAGTGTATGGGAAACGGGCCATTGCACCCAAGGTTCACGGGCACAGGGATACCTCCCCGAAAGGATTTGATGGTAATATGTCATAGCAAATTGAATTTCCATCTTCCACTTTGTCTTTAATTATGCCAATCAATGAATAAAGCTAAGCTGTACTTTAACTTTCCTGTGTGTGTGTGTGTGTGTGTGTGTGTGTGTGTGTGTGTGTATGTCTATATATATATATATATATATATATATAGAGAGAGAGAGAGAGAGAGAGA